CAAAGTAGTGCTAGCCACAGTAGAAACACTTAGCAAATATTTGTCAAATGAATGAATAGAAACTTAATCAGATCTATATTATAAAACAAATACAGTTTTCCAAATCCTAAGCCTGCTACAGAGTAGACTTTAGACATGATGAAGCATATTCTAGATGTGGAAGATTTATTGCCTAAATTCAGTAATGAATGGTCATTACTTTTGGACTTGTTCAGTCAAATAAATTTGAAAATCACCTGGTTTAAAAGATGATTGTAAAAACTCCTCAAAATATTTAGGAATATCTGACCCCAAATCCAAGAAGTTAGAGCATTTAGACAAATATTTATATATGTGTGTGTGTGTGTGTGTGTGTATATATACACACAAATAAAACTATATCTATGTAACTATAACTACTATGACTAAACCAAAAACTCACTGTCATCAATTTCAATCCAACTCATAAACTCATAGCAACACCTCCTTGTGTTTCTGAGGCGGTATCTCTATGGAAGATTGCTCAGTCTTCTTTCCGAGGAGTGGCACCAACAGCCTTCTGGTTAGCAGTTAAATGCCTTAGGCACTATGCCACCAGAGCTCCCATATATATGTATATGAATATGTATGTTTATTTGGAACCAATAGTCAAACTGAGATATGAAACCTAGATTTGATTTTTAACACTATGAAGCCGTGTGAGGTTATTAATGAAGGCATTTGTTCTCACATATATAATGTGGAAATAATATTCTCGGCTGTCCTGAGGACCGGAGATAATACATATAGATATGCTGGAGAGAGTCTCTAGCACAGAGTAAGGTACTTACTATTAGTATAAAAGGGATCCTTTTGTATGTTAGAATAATAGTAATGCTAATTCTCAGTACTTCCATGATTCTGGCCTAAATTAATATCCTTTCCTTTTAGTGTAGTACCTAAGGCACTTGACTGCTAACCAGCAGGCTGGTGGTTCAAACCTACCAGCCACTCCTCAGAAGGAAGATGGTGCAATCTACTTCCCTAGTGATACTACCTTGGAAATCCAAGGATGGGTCGCTGGGAGTCGGGTCCAATTCGATGGCACATAACAACACAACAACAACAACAACAGTTCTGTGGGAGCTCTGGTGACACAGTGCCTAAGGCATTTGACCACTAACCAGAAGGCTGGCGGTTCAAACCCACCAGCCACTGCTCAGAAGAAAGATTGGACAATCTACTTCCATAGAGATACCACCTAGAAAACCAAAGAGGGGGTCTCTATGAGTCACAATTGACTCTAGGGCAGTGAGTTTGGTTTTTGGTTTAATTCTATACTGTAACTTTTCTAAGGTATCCACTAGTTTTCATTTCACATGGATAATGTGAAATAAATATCCAGCTCTCTTTTCCCCAGTTCTCTTCGTAGCTGTAGTTTAGGGCTGAAAGAGTTTATAGGTCATGTCACCCTTAAGTAGTCCTGGAGGCAGAGTAAAACACTGGCTGCAACTAAAGGTTGATGGTTCAACCCACCAGCTACTCCATGGGAGAAAGATGAGGCAGTCTGCTTCAGTAAAGATTTACTGCATTGGCAATCGTACAGGGCAATTCTACTCTGTCCTATAGGGTATCTATGAGGGGAAATCCACTTGAGAACAGTGGGTTTGGGGTTTAGTCATCTGTAGCTATAGATTCTGTATCCCAGACAGAAAAAAGAGCAGCAAGATGCAAAGACTAACAGGAGATATCAAGAAAGGATTTTAAATATGTGAGAATTTTGTTAGCTAACGGATGCACCTAGCTATCCAGAAATGCTTTATTACTACATCCGATCAGGAAAAGATTAATAAGAAAAAGGCACAGAGGGTGACATATTTCTGCACATTTTCCACAGTGGCTAACCATTGACCAAAAGACCTTCCTTGATCTTAAGGTATTATAAGGAATGTGAATATGAGGAACTTTCTTTTTTAGATTTTCAATTATTATCAAAGGCTAATTTTTTTCTTAAAGAAAAAAACGTTTTTTTATGATTAAAATCATGCAATTTGTAGTCTTGTTTTTGTAGTATAGTGGTAGGACTGCAGACTCTTGTGCAAACATTCTTGCTTGGATTTGAAATTGCACTCCATCACCAACTAGCTGTCACTAAAACTGCCTCCACTTCAGTTTCTTTATCTTTGAACTCCAGAAAATATTACTATCACTTTATAGAAGAGTGAGAATAGTGAGGATTAATTGGGTTATTCTTTCTATTAGTTTAGAACGATGCTTGGCACATATTAAATGCTGATAATTATTATCTTTAATGCTGTTTATTTTTAATAGGATTTTTTCTTTGAGTTTCACCCTATACACTAACAACATGAAAATAAAAATGTCCTTAATTTTAACATAATAGTTATTGGCATTATCCTATAAGATTGATAATTAAAATAAATATTCAATTTATTATCACTTTTATAAAATGGTTCTAACTGAAATTAATAATAATTTTACATACAATAAATGCACAGAGTATAACTAACTGATTTTCATAGTGTTCAAGTTTAACTAAATTCTGAACAGCATGGTGTACAAAAATTTTACAATAATTTTTAATATTTTATATGTGTGATTAGAACATATCATGCTAGGGGTTTGTAGGAGCTCTGGTGGTGTAGTGCCTAAGGCACTTGACTGCTAACCAGAAGGCTGGTGGTTCATACCCACCAGCCACTCTTTGGAAGGAAGGCTGGGCAATCTACTTCTGTAATGATATCGCCTCGGAAACCCTAGGATGGGTCGCTATGAGTCGGAGATGACTGACAGCACGTAACAACAACTACAATTTGTACCCTGTAATGATAACGTAGGCAGGAGTTAGTATTCATAACTTTGGCATTTTATTTGATTTTGCTTAGAATGACTTTTTATATTATTTCTCCATTAATAAGGATTTGAAAATAATTTTATTTTAAATTATGTCTTATTTTTTTGCTGCTTAACGTTATTAAATGATGAATTGGAAACTTTGCCAAAATATTACTTTGATGTGAAAATATATTATTCAATACTGAGATATTAAATGCAAAGGATTTTATAGAGAACAATAACTCAGTATGACTTTTTGAGTAATTATTTGTAAAATTTTGCTTAATGTAGTTGAATACTTAAATGTTATTGGGTGTTCTTTGTGAGGAATGAAATCTAATCTTTTATGTTGCTTGATGTCATTGATTTTTTTTCCTTCACCCTTAGTAATCCCTTCACGACCTCAGGAGAGTCAAAAACCAAAATTTAATAATTAGTTCACTAAAGATAAGGACACAGGATTAGTCAATGTTGCCACTAAAACGTAAACACTATAAATTGTAACTTAAAAGATTCTAGAAGCCAGGGAAAATTTATTTGGTATGTACTTCATGAAGCCATATGCTCTGAGGGTGCTACATAAATAAGATGATAAAGGACTGTGACTTAATATTCATAACAAACTGATTTCTATTCAAAAGTCTTAAATCTCCATATATCATATTGCATTACAATTAATTTCTTATCATTTTGTCTTAGCATTATTTAAGAAGCTGTCTTGAAAGACAGCATATTTATAGTCATGATGGAAAATATAGTCTTAAAAATTCTCCAATAGTAGTGATACTGCCTCAGAAACCCAAGGAGGGGTCACTATGAGTCGGGGCCGACTCGACGGCAAACAACAACAACCACAATAGCCTAGGAATTATGGATCTCTCTTGCTTCTTTTACTATCAGTGTCTTTTTTTCTTTGAGAAATCTGTTTATTTACTTTTTCCCTTGTTCCTCTAAACGTCAGAATAAATTACTGTCAAATACTTTTTAAAAAATGTATCCTAATTTTGATTACTTCCTAACATCTTTACACATAAAACCCTAGTGAAGTCGATTGTCTCTTGCCTTGACTACTGCAGTAGCTTTCCAACTCAGCCTTCCTGTCCCCATTTTTGGCTCTGTACAGTCTGTTCTTTACACAGAAACCAGGTACTTTTAAAACATATGTCAGGTCACATTCTTCCTCTGCTTAAAACTTTCCAATGGCCTCTCATCAAAATTGGAACAAAATCCAAATGCCTTATCATAATCTACAAGACTTTCCCTTTCTCCCTTGTCTCATCACCTATTATTTAACCTCTCCCCACCCCTGGCAATTAAATGTCAGGAGCTCTGGTGACACAATGGATAAGTGCTAGGCTGATAGCCAAAAGGTAGGCTGTTCAAACTCACCAGCGTCTTAAGGGAGATACATGTGGCAGTTTGCGTCCATAAACCATACTACCTTAGAAACCCTCTTGAGAAGTTCTTTGTCTTGTGGGGACACTATGAGTTGGAAAATATACCACAACAATGATTTTTAGGTATTATTCAAATATCACCCATTTTCTAAAAAGTATCTACCTAAAATAGACATCTTTCTCCATCATTCTCTATCCCGTTGTCTAGTTTAATTATTTCCTTCACATTTCCACTATCTGATTTTATAATAGTTGCTTATTCATGTTTGTTTCCTTGTCGCCTTTGTGCACTGATGTATCCTTAGAATCATCAGACATACCTAGCACATAATGACAGGATGATTCTTTTCTATAATGGACTATTTTCAAGACTATGACTCTGATATCATCCCACCATTACTGTCTATGTACCCACGTTCCTTCAGTATTCTTAAGGCTACAGCGAAAATAGGCTTATTCCATTTCTTCTTATTCACCTCTTGTTTGATTATTGTCTTAACTTTAGCAATCTGAACTATTGTTATATTGTGGCTAACTTTCAAATAAAATTTAACATGATTTTAATTGTCTTTAACAGTTTCCTTTTTCCAGAGTTTGCAATGAAATTAAGATACTTTGCATGGACTGTAATTGTTTTTTTCTTGCATTAACTTCTGATACTTTAGTAATTTCAACCTCAAAATACATGTGTCATGGAGAGTATAATTAGAAGGAATGCACATGTAAAACCATCATTCTGAGTTTACACAGGTGATGACAGAAATATAATGTGCTTTGTTTTTCTTTCAGATCTCCAACTAAAGACATGGATTCAGAAGAGAAGGAAATTGTGGTTTGGGTTTGCCAAGAAGAGAAGATTGTTTGTGGGTTAACTAAACATACCACCTCTGCTGATGTCATCCAGGCTTTGCTTGAGGAACACGAGACTACCTTTGGAGAGAAGCGATTTCTTCTGGGGAAGCCCAGTGACTACTGCATCATAGAAAAGTGGAGAGGGGCGGAGCGAGTTCTTCCTCCACTAACTAGAATCCTGAAGCTTTGGAGAGCATGGGGAGATGAGCAGCCCAATATGAGGTTTGTGTTGGTTAAAGCAGATGCTTTTCTCCCAGTTCCCCTGTGGCGGACAGCCGAAGCTAAATTAGTGCAAAACACAGAAAAACAATGGGAACTCAGCCCAGCAAATTACATGAAGACGTTACCACCAGATAAACAAAAAAGAATAGTCAGAAAAACCTTCAGGAAACTGGCTAAAATTAAGCAAGACATGATTTCCCAAGATCGAGATAACATGGAAACATTAGTTCACCTGATTATTTCCCAGGACCATACTATTCACCAGCAAGTCAAGAGAATGAAAGAGTTGGATCTAGAAATTGAAAAGTGTGAAGCTAAATTCCACCTTGATCGGGTAGAAAATGATGGAGAAAATTACGTCCAGGATGCGTATTTAATGCCCAGTTTCAGTGATGTTGAACAAAAACTAGATTTACAGTATGATGAAAGCGAGATACTGGAGGACCTGAGCAAAAGTGATGGAATTGTACAACTGGAAGAACAACTAAAATATTACAGAATGCTCATTGATAAGCTCTCCACTGAAATAGAAAAAGAGGTGAAAAGTGTTTGCGTAGAGATGAATGAAGATACCGAAGGAGCAGCTGCGGGTGAACTCGAATGCTCAAATTTAGAAAGTGTTAAGTGTGATTTGGAGAAAAGCATGAAAGCTGGTTTGAAAATCCATTCTCACTTGAGTGGCATCCAGAAAGAGATTAAATACAGTGACTCATTGCTTCAGATGAAAGCGAAAGAATATGAGCTCCTGGCTAAGGAGTTCAATTCACTTCACATGGGCAACCAAGACGGCTGCCAGCTTAAGGAAAACAGAGGGAAGGAATCAGAAGTTCTCAACAGCAGTGGAGATGTTCCTCCATTTACTCAAAGGGTATTTAATGTGTATACAAATGACACAGATTCTGACACTGGGATCAGCTCTAACCACAGTCAAGACTCGGAAATAACTGTAGGGGATGTGGTGCTGTTGTCCACGTAATTTTAATGGCTTCTTTCTTACCTACCTTAATGTTGGTAATGTCTGCTTAACAGGACACTTTATTTTAAATATTACTGTTTAAAAAATGTAAATCATGTTATAGTATTCAGTAGTTAATAAAAGCCAGTAAAATATGTAAGTTTGTTTTTTTATGTAACATTTCTAGTATGACTTTATTATAAGTTCAAACAATAAACTATTAGCAATGCAACCCAAATAGCTTGTAGGTGTATAATATAGAAATATAATTTGATGGGAATTATAATTTCTCACAATATCTATGAGAAATTATTTACACAAACTTAAAACCAATTCTTAATATTATAGTCAAAATTTTTAAACTGTACTCATGAAAATATATCATTGGGAAATTTAAATCTGTAAAGTACATGAAAGCTACTATGTTTAACTACATTAATCCAAATCTTAGTTCTTATAATTGATACTTAGAATGTATAACATATGTCTCTCACTTATTGTATCTCTCTACCTGTTTAATTCTGTAGGAGAGGAAGTGGGAAGGGCTGCTGTTGGGACATGTACCAATAATGAGAGTTGATCACATTGTGGCACAAATGAGGAAGGGCCCCAAACTGCATAAAAACAGCAGTTATTCTAAAGAAATGTAAATATGTTACAAGATATGCATGGTCAAAGGTGTTCATGGTCTTTGTCTTTCTAACCACAAAGATCTTCTTTCAAATCAATGGTTCCTGCAGGTTCATTCTTTGAGTGAGGAATAGTGTGAGTTACAGAGGAATTTACAGAGTCATTATCTTGTTTATTTATCTACAAAAATTGAAGGGATGAAATTTGAATTTCTTTATATGGGTAAAATAAATAAGAGGTCTAGGTGCCATAATTATCAGTATTTAGTGTATGAGTGTATAAAGGGGAATTGACATGGGAACAAAATGTTCGTTCTGCTATAATTTGCTTCAGATAGTCTTAGTACTTCATCTTTGATGCAAACTAAAAAAAGCACTAGCTCCACCTCAGTACAAGGAAAACAGTCTCCAATCAATTCAATGCACTCTTATTATAGTACCAGACTGTCCTTGGTTTTTTGGTGTTTAATTAAGAAATTCCTTTTTCCTTTTTCCTTTTTCCCTCCACCCATCCTTCCCTCCCTCCCTTCTTTCTTTTCTTCCTCCCTTTTCCTTCCTTCTTCAGTTTTCTTCCTACATCCTTCCCTTCTCTACTCTCCTTTTCTCCCTTCTTTCTTGCCAATGAAAGTATGATAGAAGCATATTGAAAACAAGTTGTTTGATTTTATTGTAGTGTTAACTGAATACTGCTGCAGTTCATTTTTTTCTGTTAGCTGAAGCCTTTCTTCTACATCAACACATATGTAAGTGACATATTTCTGAGTTTGATAAGAAGGTATTGGTTACGATTCTAAGTATGTCTCATTGAAATCCCTTTTATTCTTAAAGCGTACTCTAATGTACATTTTTAACTCGGTTTCTAGAATCTATTCTTTTATCTACCTTCCCCTACTCCAGTCTTTTCACCATCTTTGGAAAAATTATTTAGGATTTTTTTGGCATTTCACATTTTGAGAGCTTCTAAATTATTATTTCTTGTACCAAGATATAGGGGCTCTGGTGGTGTAGTGCCTAAGGCATTTGACTGCTAACAAGAAGGCTGATGGTTCAAACCCACCAGCCACTCCTCGGAAGATTGGG